AAGGGAAATTTATTCATAGTGAAATGGGAAAACTTGTTACATATCAAGTAAATTTACCCGAACCACTTAAAAAGAAAGCAAGATTTCTTGAACCAATACCCGAGGAGGTTGATGACAGAATGGCAGACCTAACCGATGATATGACCGAAAAAGAATTATTTAACATGTCGATGCGCAAAAGTTTGAGATTGACAAAAGGTTTTGTTAGAATAGAAGAACAACCAATTATAGATGAGTATATTAGGCAGTTTAGTGATGATTATGAGGTTCCACCACCACCACCAATGATGTTTACATGATGTAAATATTCTTTTATTGATTTATTCATTTTCAATGGCGTTCTAGTCTTAATGTAAATGTAAATAAAAAACGATCGAGCTATGCATTTTTTTTGTTGATAATTGAACCAATGTTTATCTTGCGTTGGTCTACTTGGCAATATTTTATTTCAGATGTGATAAGGTTGCGTGTGATCGTGCTTAAAGCAATTCTTTAATCTGTTAATCGGATTTAATTTTCAACTGAATAATTCGAAGATCCTTAATTTCATTATTTATTGTCGTGGATGAATATTTGAAATAAATTCTAATTTTTAGTAGCTACAAAACGAGTTTTATTAATTGTTCGCTTCGTAAAGTGAAATAAATTTGAACGAAAAAAATTACGATATCAGATATATAATAAATCAACCGCAAGCAAAGGTACTGGGTATGATGGAGAAGCATATTATACGTTGTGACTAGAATTCCAACACAGATGAAATAAAAAGCTATTTTTAGTGCAATTGAATTGAAAGACGTGCAAATTTTATTGCGTAACATATTCCCAACGATACCATCCCGCATGTCTTTGAAATCCTCGACATACTAGTCCTATATTATTAATTCCAGTAACACGCCGTGCTTCAGCTATGGATAGAAATTCTTGGAAAGACCCATCATCGAAAATCTGCTTAACACCGCATTGACGCTGAAGCCCGAGGCGTATAGTATGCTGAGAGTTTTCTTTTTGTGAACACCATTCAAGATTAGATGCTTTATTGTTTGTTGAATCCCCGTCAATATGATTCACATATTCTTTACCTTCTTCTTTAGGGCAAAATGCTGTGTAAGTTTCAACAATATTACTGTTCAATTTGAAGTTTTACAAGCTGATATTCTTTATATGCCATATGATAAAGTAAGGAATATAACTAATATATTTTGTCTTACATGTGTTGACATTGCTTCTCGTTATAAATGGGTAGAACCAATTGGAACCTCTCTTGATATCTTAAATATGGATAAAGACGAATTTTCTTTGAAAGGTATTCTAACTTCAGCTGTAGTTGCTGAAGCTTTTGAAAGAATGCTTTTTAATGATCCAGATTGCTTTATTACATGGGATATGATAAAATTAGTAATTACTGATCAGGGTTCTGAATTTAAAAAGGATTTTGAAAAACTCTTAAAAAACCATAACGTAAAAAATCAGAAAGCTAATTCCAAGTCAACTATGGGTATTGTTGAAAATTTCAATGGAAGTTCTTGTAAGAAATTAATTCGAATTCAAGATGCACATGAATTAATATTACCTTTCCCCCAAAGATCAAGAATTTGGAAAAAAAATACTTGTACTACTCTTAAGTTATTAAATAATACTATAGCCCGATTAATTGGAATGTCACCTAATAAAGCTAGAAAAAAGAAACATGTATATGCTAAATTCTCTAAACCTCGAAATGGTCCTATGGGGTTTGACGAAGAAAGATTGCCCTATAATGCTTCTGTTAGATATTTACTTAATCCAGGTGAATTGGAAGGTGGAAGAAGACGTATAACCGATTGTAATTGGTCTCGAAAAATTTATCGAATTAAAGAATCTCTAATACAAAAAAATCAACCAGTATTATACTGGCTTATAGATGAAAATGGGGATGGACCTGAAAGATCATTTGTAAGAGAACAACTAATGGTAGTTAAGAATGTTGAATATCCACCTAGATGGATTTTACGTGATCAGTATTAATTATTTTATAATATTATATAGCAGGGTTAGTACATGGCACTTATTTTTTTCAAATAATATAAATAAAATGCATACTCTATATAATTGTTTATATCCAAAGTAATTGTTTTTTCTTTACTTGAAAATTTATAAGCTTTGTTTTTACGTTATTTTCAATTTCTTGCCAATTTGGTTCGATATTATCTTGTGAATCAATATTTGTATAATATCTATTTTAAAGATTTTTTAAGGATTATTAATTTATACGTATTTCCAAGCCATAAATTTTTTTAAGTATATCGTTTACTTCTTCATTAGATCTTTTTTCTACAATCTCTTCTTGATTAGCTAGTTCAAGATATAATTTATATAATTTTTCCAAACTAATATAAATTTCCTCATTATACCAATCTTTAAAATCTGCCATTCTTTCATTATAGGTTTCCTCGTTTTGAGTACGTTGTTTTGCTAAATGTCTAATATGATCTTCTGGATCTCTTTTTCGCTGTAAAGTTTTAAGATAATTTACATATGATGCTCCTAATTTGTCATATTTTTTGGTACCTTGACTATATGCTACTCTAATTACTTCAATCAAAGCCAATTCGATATTTTTGTGATCTAACATTTTATGAATAATTGAATAGTTGCTGTATTGTTTTTATAATAATACTTAATCAGATCTTTTGTTTAAATAAAAAATATCCATGTCTGAAAAAATTAAGATTGAACAAAATAGATCCAAATATATTTGCAATTATCTGCATAATTCTGGTGAAATTTGTGGACGTGGTTGTCGACGACCTCAAGGTTGCCGCGAACATTGGAAATCTAAAAAACGCATCCCTTGCGGAGTTTGTGGTGAGCCTACTGGTGCAAACCTGGAATGTGTAAAGATCATGCTGGTGGATTTTATGTTATGGAGTTTTATGCTCGACAGCTTGGCTTACGAAGTGAGGTAAAAGTAAATTAGTAGCTATGCATATACCATATGCTCGATAACATACCTGATAATATACATGCGAATACTTTTTTTCATCCCCGAATATGACGTGTAAATCGTGATAGCGGAGCCGACAAACTAGTGATTGTGGAGCTGGTACAAACCCGACATCCGATAGTTCATATATGCCCGACTCCGATAAGTTTGCATGTTACCCGATGGCAGAAATTGTCATGTGATCTGACGACAGAAAACGACCACGATCGTATCCCATACAGGTTAAGGCATACAGTATACTAATTCGGGTGTGACATAACGACAAAATTCAGCCACGACCATCATATGAGTGGCATGAGAAACCAGTTGCGCCTGCCACACCTAGGTTGTGGTATATACAAATTCAAATGATATAGAAAAGTTCCAAATAACGTCAGATATATAAAAATGCCAGTGCTATAGAAAGGCTCCAAATGATGTGAAATATATAAAAATGCCAGTGATATAGAATGTTCCAGATGAAATTTTTCCGGCATTATAGCTGGTGTTATAGAAAAGGTCCAAATAATGTGAAACATAACAAGCCAGATAACAAAAAATTACTATTTAAAAAACAACATCATCGATTTTAGTGCCTAAAAGATGTGAAACATAGCAAGCTGGATATCAAAAAATTACTACTTAAAAAAGCATAAAAGACTTAAGGCTTGCAAGAAACTGAACTATCGATTTTGATGATTTATAAAAAATTAAAGATGTTTTAGCTATGCATAAAATTATACCACTTTCTGGATATTAAAAATTTTTTATATCGATTTAATGAATCTGAAGCCATAAAATGCATGAGAAGAATACTATACAGGAAAGCTTTCAATCTAACTTCTTAATTAGTTTTTGTCTTATAATCACAGGAAAGCACCAAAAAAGCAAAATTATAAGAACCAAGATGTAAAAATGAGGAATCCAAAAAAAAAGTCTGCTCGTGCTCCTTGCTACTTGAATGTTAAATTGTGAAGTGCCAAATTTTACCCAGTTATATGTGAATACATAATCCCTATTTATAATATTTTTGGTTGATTTATTCCATTTAGATATAGAACCTCAAATTGGAAAGACTCTCACAAATATTTAGCTGTAATTCCTCTAAATTATAAATATAATAAACAATTAAAAATTTGACAAATATGTGAATTTTGACAAAATTGAAATTTTGATGAATGTCTAATGATTTTTTGAGGAAATTTTAATAAAATATATAGTAAAAATGATATAAATTATATGACAAATAATACCAAATTATATAGTAGAAATTTATTAATGATTTATGTATGCTGAATTATATAGTAGAAATTGATTAATGATTTATAGTATTTATACTAAATTATATAGTAGAAATTAATTAATGATTTATTTATATCATTAATATGCTGATGAATTTTATATGAGTGTCATTATACCAAATAAATATTTTTTGACTAGTGATTGTCCCCAAGACTAAACTTAGAGGCTTTATACTTATAATAAGTTGGTTAAATTAAAATAATAGTTTAGCTCTAGTATATATTATATTGTTCTAATGAAAATATATTTTTGATTTCAATTAATTAATAAACTGACAATTTAGCCTGGCTATTAATACTAAAAAAAAAAGATATATATAATTAGTTTGACAAAAAGTTTAAAAAAATAGTCAAAAATTATTAAATTATTTATAATTGTTTAATTAATTCTTTATTTTTATATAAATTTTACAATAATTATACTTCTTTAAATTGATTTAGAATATATTTAATTATTTTTTTTTATATAATTTAAATTAATTTTATTCTTTAATTTATAATTATACTATACATATTAATTTTAATTCTTTAAATATTAAATTTTTATTTATTTATTAATACTTATTTTAAAATTAAAGTTTTTTTTTTTAAGAAATATAGATTAATTTTTTTAAAAATTTTAGATTGTTTTATATAATATTGATTTAAATTATTGTATTAAAATTTTATTTTATTTTTATTTATTTTTTTTAACTAGTCCAACTAATAGGATGGATCTTTATTGAGATATCAGTAATACATTTTTAGATTACATGAGTAATTTGTATAACTTTTTTAAACTACCTTTCCCTAATCAAGTATGTCAATTTTATCATATAGTAATACTATTTTCATTAGTTGTCCTGCTTTGCCCAGGCCTATAGTATTTCAAGGATCTACTATTGGACTTCATATTATTTAATCTTCAAGAGATTTGTGATATATGTTCCTTAGTGAAATTTTGTTTGTCACTTGATAATTTTTTTTTTTTTTTTAAGTTGGCTTGGCCAAATTTATTAGCAAGTTTTACTATATAGGTACATCTGACCAGAAGAAAACAATGATATGCTAGTAAACTAATGATAGGCTTTGAAACACTACCTCATGACTAAGCCATCTCCAGACAGAGATCTAACAAAAGAACTATTAGGGTGATATAAAATTTTAAAAAGAGGGAAAATTATGTGTATCAAATCTAATTTATCTAACTTAACCCAAGAAGGGATAAGGGGGGTTGTATTCATTACCCTATTCAATCAACTCTATTTAGAGGAGAAAATTGAAGCTAAGACTATACAAATTTAAAC